GTGTGTGTGTTAGTGTATTAGTGTGTAAGTGTATGTATGTGTGTGTGTATGTGTGTGTGTGTGTGTCTATGTGTGTGTGTGTGTGTGTATGTGTGTGTGTGTGTGTGTGTTTGTGTGTGTGTTTGTCTATGTTTGTGTGTGGGTGTATCAGTACATGCGTGCGTCTGGCCCTTGTGTATAAAAAGTGTGGCTCAAAGATTCTCTCTCCGGCCTCATCTCTTTCTGTATCTCTCTCACAACGTCAATTAATTCCCTTTCATTAATTATTAATGGAATTATTAATCTCCATTTTCGGCACATGCCAGTTTCAATTACCTTCCTAAACAATGAGATGGTGAATCCAGATTCCAAGATGAAAAGAACAAACTAAAAGACTACGTGCCGTATTGAATATCAGTAAAGAGAAGAGAGGAGAATTGCAAACAGAAAGGAGACAGTGGGTCCACTCGTTCTCGGGTCCCAGATGGGGCACACTATTCTTCTGTCTTCACAATCTAATTATCTTATCCTCTTCTATACCGTATTAGACCCGATCAGATCAGATACGATCCGATGCTATTGTATTGTCTAAGAAGAAAAAAAAAGACATGACGTGTTGTTGTTCTTTTTAGTGACATACAGTTTTCGCCCGTTTTTAAAACCTTAAGGTTGGTTCAGATAGAGAAGTTCAGAATTGAATGTCCTCCATCTCTGAAGAACAAGAGCAAGAACAAGAACACAGCCACCCCACCACCAATAATTACAACACATCAACAAAACAACAACAGAAACAACAAACAACAACAACAGCAGCAGCTATAAACAACAACAACAGCAACAACAGCAACAACACGACCACCACCACCAACAACAACAGAAACAACAACACCACTACTACTACCACCACCACCACCAACAACAACAACAACAAGAAGAACAACAATGACAACAACAACAACACATCAACAGTCAACAGCAAGAGACAACAAAAACAAAACACCACCACCACCACCACCAACAACAACACCACCACCACCACCACCACCATAACACATCACAACTACCGCCATCACCACCACAACCACCAACAACACCACCAACAACACCACCACCACCACCAACACCAACAACATCACCACCACTCACTTTTCTCGTCCCCTATCCTCCTCTCCATGGACTTGGTCGTGTCCAAACAACAACACCACCACCACCAACAACAACAACACCACCACCACCAACAACAACAACACCACCACCACCAACAACAACAACACCACCACCACCAACAACAACAACACCACCACCAACAACAACAACATCACCACCACCAACACCAACAACATCACCACCACTCACTTTTCTCGTCCCCTATCCTCCTCTCCATCGACTTGGCCGTGTCCACGAGAGCCCGCACTACAGTGTTGAACTTGACCACGAACGACTCAAAGTCTGCGTAGGGCGTGTCCCCGTTGTCGGCGGTGAAGGGGTTCCCAGGTGGGGCTGCTTGCCTCATCTTGGCGCTCTCGCCGCTGTGGTACTCATCGCTGCTGTCGTAACTCTCGTCCAGATCTGTGGGGGAAAATGTTTTTTGTATGAGTTTTATGGCACGTGCGACTTAATCAGCAAATAATAATAATAATAATAATAACAATAAAGTCACAACAAAAATAATAATACTGATGATTATGATTATAATGATAATAAATGATAATAATGATATAAAAAATAATAGTAAT